TCAGTATTTTATTCGAAAACTGCAGTCAATCAGCTTCATAAAAATATAAAAATTTTTGTTGTTTGTTTAGTAAATAATGCCAATACAGATTTTTGAAAAATTGGATTTTTCATATGTTTTACTATTGATCGACAAATTTCGGCCAATACATTTTGGTAGTGAGTGTACAACTTTGATTGTGTAACTTCGTTTAAAGCCTTGTCTGCATCCAAACAGAGAAAATAATCAGCTACTGGTGCCCCTGTTGCATTGATGATGCAGTACCTGCCCTCTCGTGCATTTACAGTGCATTTTTCACATTCCACATTCCAATTATTAGAGTTTTTAGCTGTTGTAGATGTCTTGGTTTGTTTTACAGCTTTGTCAAGGATTAGATGGTGATTTTTGAAGGAGATGTTGCCCTTCAACCGTGCTCCAACATGTATTCTTGCAAGAGATGTTAACTCGCCTTCCTCTAGCATTTGAGATTTGAAAACACGGATTTTTGCATTAAACTTCTCAAAAGCCTGCCAACAAACTATTGGGTCTCCCTCTTGTTTTGACAAATGCTCATTATAATCATCAAAATTCCACCTTTGAAATAATTCTTCTTGCTGATTGAACTTAGATGCTCGTCTATATTGCTCCATCAATATCCAAAACCAGATATATGGCAAGACAAGGTATCCTTCATTAGAATCATCAAGTCTTTCATAGCAGATTAACCCAGGCTGGGCAAACTCCTCAGGACATTTAGTTGTTCCAGGAACAACTTGGTCAGCCTTCAAGAGTTGACAGGTTAAGGTTGCTTTTACAATTGCCAGGGCATCAGTGGCAGTCATAGAACTAATAGCTTCAGAATAATTTTTAATAAGAGATGTGTGTAAATCATTCATTAAAACAGAGGCATCACAATCCCTTATGTCACAACCAGACAAGCATGTTTCCAGGGTCTCAATAGCTCTTCCATGTCCTCCACAATCACTTATAAGGACTTTCATAATGGGATCATTTATCTGAAAGATTGGTACAGAATTTTTAGTTGGAACTTTTAGAGAAGTAACTGGCAGAAATATGTAACACTGGTGTGAATCCTTGATAAAGGTCTTAATTGGACTAGTAATTGTTGCAGTACAGCATGGAAGTACAAAAGCATTTGTACTCCAAAGACTTCCAATTTGTGACAAAGTCTGGTAAAATTTGTCTTGCCTATCATTTTGGTTTGACATAAACTTTTGTAAGCCATCAACAACTAGTATAACTGTAGCATTAGATAAGTATTGGGTAACAGCTGATGTCAAGTTTTTTCCTGTAGATAGTGTATCATGGCTATTTAATATATAATGTTTGGCAACCAAACATAAGATGTCTTCTGGGGTTGGTGCTTCATAGGTTTCGAGAATATCATTCCATGTAGTTGTGTCATGAAGAAGTTGGTAAAGCATCCGACTGCCAATGGCTTTATATTGATCTGGTTCATCAGTTGAAGTCCAGGGGATGCCATTCTCCAAGGTGGTATAAAACACCCAAGCATTATTAAGTCTTTTATGTAGTTCATGTGCCCCATTCATTGTTGTTGGTAAACAATTAATTGTTGTTAAATGAAACTCAGCAGCATTCCTAGATTTTCCAGTACCAGCACCAGCAAGGAAAAAATAGGTAGGCATGGTTGATTTGTCTCGTTCATTTTTGATGTAGTAGTTGTAATGTCGCATTAGATTATGTCGGAGTTGGTGGCACAATTCATCAGATAGTTGATAATCCCATTTAGCCCCAGAAGTGTTAAGTAACATTTTTGAGTCAGGGTTAATATATGGAAGGCCTAGAGAATTAATTAAATCATAATTAATGTGAAATGAGATATCTTTAAAAGTTGAACAATCTTGCTACATACCATTGGGAAAAGAATCCTCAATTGTTCTTTTTGCTAATAATCAAAACATGACAATGTATATGGCATGTGAAGAAAAAAATTTTAGAGTATTGACATAAATATCAATATAGAAACCATAGATCATAATAATCAAAAAACTCATATTATTATATCTACTGTACCCATACACACTACTCTATGTCCAAACGCCCAAGTCAAAGTCAATTACCTCTACCACCCTTGGGGGCGCGCAACGCGTCTGTCAAGATACTCTCCCATAGATCTCGTTTATCTTTCAGCTTCTTTTTCTCTTCTTCAAGTTTCTTCTCCAACTTCTTTTTCTCTTCTTCAAGCTTCTTTTTCTCTTCTTCATGTTTCTTTTTCTCTTCTTCATGTTTCTTCTCAAACTCTTTCAGCGCGGCTTCCGCCATTTCAAGCCGCGACCTCGCATCGCTGGCTGCGGTACTCGTGCTGAAGACTCGTGCAGTCACTCCCATCGCCTTCCATCGTGTCTGGGAAGAAGTGGCAAGTGTTGTCTTTGTTCCATTGACAATATACGAAGACAGAAGAAACGAACGCGCAGATGTAGTCGTTTGCCGTGCACTATTGGAAAGAATGAGCTGTATCATGCTTTAAGCTTATTGATAACGGTTACAACTTTCTTTTATATGACTAGGTTTTTATATGAAAACTTTTTTGTCCAAATTAAAATCGCAAGATCGAAAAAATGTCAGATGTCCCTATGACTTGTGTTACACAATTTTATATGACTAATATCGACTTTTAAACTACCAGTTACAGTAACGTGACTGTCCGTATGACGTTTTCAGCCAGTCATCAGCCTTAAAATCTTGTGTTGCATGTGGAATTTTGGTGTCGCACACAGATTTCTTTATTAAGTACTGAAAGGAGTAAGTCAATATATTAAAAAAATATATTACTTAATTGATTTTGTATAATAAAGTCTTGTTGGCAGATACCTTGGCATTTTAAGCGTCAACCCCCGTTTCCAAGTGGATTGAAAGTATGTTTATTATCAAGCGATTAACGAGATCGAATCTCTCTATATCTACTCTTATTGGTCGAAATCTAAATCCCTTGTCTATGATCGTAATTCGAACCGAGTTAGGCATTAAAATTTACTCAAAAACTTGTATATTTCGAAATAAAAACGTTACTGTAACTGATTCTGGCTCTCTTGGGGTAGCTCGACTTTTACATTTAAATATTGAAAAAAAAGTTTTAATATTTTTGACCAAGTTAGGCCAAAAACCGACTTATCGAGTCTGCTTATACTAATACCCATTCTGTAATTTTTTGGTCTGAAAATAAAAAGCGATACAATTTTATGATCTTATGTAAATACATTACTATTACATGGTGTCTATAAACAAAATCTTGGATACCGTTCACTCATCAAATACATGCGTACAGCACCTTAGCGAATTGTAACTTGCTATAAACCTTAAGACTGATCAATATTTCAAACCCACTAATACTAATACAAAGCATTGACGGTTTGTACGAGATAAGAAAATTTTTGTTTATGTCAAGCGTAATGCGCTCATTCTAATTGTATTGACGTTTCCTTGGTGCTTTTTCGTGGATACAGCGCTATAATAAATGATTGATGTTAGGGACATCAGTGAGTAATGATAATGACAGAGCGGGATTTACCAAACAGAAGCAGGATTTCAAGCATTAGCGTTTTACAATGACGCGTTTAGAAATCTACTCGTAAAATTAACACAATAATCATCGATAAAATTTCGATGATATCTACATCGTATTTACATCCAACCTTTTCGCATTGATACACAACAACGACTTGGCATCAGCATAATTATCGTAGGCTATTTAGCCCAACTGCCCCCAGTACACGTGAACCTGGCTTTCCACTCCCCTATTTGGCATTTATTCTATCCACTCTTTTTTGACACAATCCAAGAAATTAGAGTAGGCAACATTTCACAGACTACATAGGAAAACTCGTCCAAAAGCCGCTTCATACAAACCCTGTTTCTCATAAGAATTGCTTGTCACGACCACACAAGTAGTCCAATACAAACAACTGTTGAACAGATAAACCGTATTGTCAACAATGATTTACTCTTAGAAAATGAAAAATTTGTGATGTCTAAAGCTATAGACTTTATAACGACATTCAGCAAAATTTCGAAATTGTAAATCAGTTTTTAAACTCAAAACAAATCTATCGTCGTCTGTACGTATTTAACAAGAATCTCGGATAACGTGTTTAAACAACTTTCTAATGGGAAAAGGTATTTGTAATGGTATTATCAGAGTTATTACTGATTTCGATAAGACACATTAACTGTTCAAGTAGCATTCTGCGTACAAAATGCAATAGTCCATCATTGGGTGCCAAAACACATTTCCTACTTTTATCAGGCAGAGGGAGCGCGGACTCAATTTTTGTTACAATACTTAACAATACATATGACTCAATATCAAGGTCTCACACTACAGAACACCATTATATCTTTGATGGTCATATTTGCTCCAGGCCAGGCATACGTTGCTATTAGTATAGTCTAACATCAGCGCGCGCTACACAAAACCGCTTTCACAACAGACCCTAATGTAATTAGAGGGTATGAATGACTTCAATGTATCGCAGAACAAATACAACCAATTAACTATTTGATTAATAATTTAAATTTAACAAATATTGCATCAAACGTAATATAATTATCACTATTGTCATCCCCCGGCCGACCGGGTCAACAATGCTAGTCATCACCTAGGTAGGTATTATCCAATAATTATTCATGCATACCTCAAGTAGCTGTTGTTGAGAATGTTTGACGAATGTGGCAAAACGTAAAGGGACACAGAGTTGGCAAGGAACCAACCAGTTTTACACGCTAACAAAGCGTGATTTGCCAACAGATGATCGCGTGGGTGCTACCTCAAAACTCACGTCTGCGTATATGAAGATGGAAGACTCTGCGGATTGCATATGTGCAAATGCGTGATGAAGAACCATCGTTATGACGTGAAAGAGTGAGTACACGCATTTCCCCGTCATCGACGGGATCAAGGCGTATTCTATCAAGTCGCAGAATCATTCGCGCTTTTTGGGATAACTTGAGAGCTGTACACTGGAAGTTGAGAAGTCATTGAAAGCTTGCGAACAGCATCTGTGAACCCCATGCCAATTGATAGCGATTGTTCGTCGTTTATTATTCAAAAGATGGGAGTATTGAAGAGAAGGAAAACCCATCTATTTATAAAATCGTTTTTGTGCCATTGAAACATTTCTTCGACGTGCTTCTCGGCATTTCTCGGCATCAGCCTATCTATCACCTGAGACGGCGAATAGTATTATTGACGATGTAGTTACTAATAAATGTTTCTCATCCAGCAATTGCCGTGTCAATATCTATCCGCATAATTAATTTAACGTTAACGTAGTTCTCTGGTTTTTATCACAACGTTTGGAGAAGTGATGCCGGCTATATAAAAGATCCTTCAGAAATGTGATGACGATGAGGGGATGCGCCAGGGCTAGACTTTCATTCCAGGAAATGATCATTCTCACCATTTATGCGTTAAAGGTAGCCGCATGCCCTTCGTGTCACATAGTTAGTTAAGGTTACAAGCACTTGACAGCAATGATGTTACGGCACTTTATTTAGGGCTAGAGAGATACGTGTAATATTGGGGTTGAAATTCAGTCTTTTCCATGTCGGTGCTTGATTGAACATATGTTCTCTGTAAATTCGTTTAGGTGAGTAGTATCGAGCTAAAACGGTTTATTTGTGAGAGGCATCTTTGTTGAAAATCTTGTGATTCGATACACTTTTATCTAGATTATTGAGTGTAACGTTCGACAGAATTTTGTTTGTACGCAGCATTCACATTGTTTGTATCTTTTTGTTCGGATACCCGATACGCCAAGGTTTGTTTATTTCCGGATGGTAAGTGATGTAATTGATGTCATGGTCGGATAATCTGGTCTTTGTAACCCCTTCTTTTTACTAATTTGGTTTGTTTTGGTGCCAGTATTTAATATCCCCGCCTTTCCTCGCATCCACTTATTTCTACTGCTTAAAAGGTAAAGGCACCTTTTGACACTAATAAATCGTCTGGTCGGCAAATGTCAAGGGACTTGACTCTCGAATTAGCATCCATACGTGATGGGAAAGTATCGATCGAACATCAAATAGACATTCACGGTGAGTAGTTATTGTGCTAGTAAGCCGTTATAATCTACCTGTTCGCTCATATTTTGAAACTCATCTGCAGTAAACGATTTGTTCGGTATTCAAAACAATCCGCAACTGTCCCTTGACGATGTCTTGTCCGGGCTTCACTACGTCGTGGATTACCGTCTCAAGGGCGGCAGGCTTCCCAACCTTGACGCCGATCTTATGAAACGCCTCTGTAAAGGTTTACTGTTCAACATGAAGTATACCGAAGGAGGTTTATTGAAGAGAAAACTTACTGCTGAGGCTCAAGACGCATTTATTCTGTTTGGAGAATTTCTCGAAGAAGGTAAGAGAGCTACAAAGGGTTTACGTGTTATTTTGTCCATGTTATGCACCGGATTGCCAACAAGCTGTTCTAATATTATGCAACCATACACGAATACTTTATTCATGCGCTTTTGCTCATTCAACTCGTCTTTATCAACTTGTCTTTACGTCCAGTTGAAGAATTTCGCCAAGCAGTAGCTCAGGAGAATGTATCCGATCTGTGCGACGCTCTTAGACTTCATCGTCGATGCCGTAATGACGCACCGCCGGAAGTAAAGCAAGCTGCTATAGCAATCATACATATGTTGACCGAGTGGTTTCCACAATTCTCTGACTGGCACGAATTTGTAAAGGAGGACGACCACAGCGATGTGGAGAAAGTGCTGAAAGGATCAACAAGTACAATTAAAAAACCGTTAATGCCTGTTTTCCAGGGAGCTCTATATCCTCCTCCTTGTGAGTATACGACAAGACAACGCTTAGGCTACGTCTGAATTATTTGAAGTTGGAAGCATTGTTATCAATTGCTAATATACTTTAATGTTTAATTAGCTCTATATTTCGACCGCAACGTGACTCGTCTTTTAAAAATGTTCCGCACATCACTTACTGAAGGCCTCGATACTGCCTCTGTACAAGATCGATATAAACATTATGGTCCCAACAAACTTCCCGATCCGCCCAAACCGTCTATCATAAAAATGCTACTCCATCAACTGACGGATTTCATGGTTCTAATTCTATTGGCTGCTTCTATCGTCACTGCTGCTGAGAAAGACTTCAAAGCAATGGCAGTATTGCTGGTGGTAATTGTGTTGAACACTGTAATTGGATTTACACAAGAGTATAAAGCTAATAAAGCATTGGAAGCGTTAAAAAAATTGAATGTGGCTCAGGTAAAGATTTTAGAAATGTTATGATTCTTTTCTTGATTACAACAGACATTGTTATTGTTATCCTAACGCTGACTTTCAACTGTGTTTCGCATATTCGGTAGGCTCAAGTGATTAGAGATGGTCAGAAAATGGTCATTAACTCATCCGAATTGGTACCAGGAGACATTGTTATACTGGAAGAAGGTGATGCTATACCTGCTGACGTTCGCATTGTTGAAGCAGCATCTTTTC